ATTTGTCAGGGTTGAGATGTTACAGTAGCACTATTTTAATTTTGAGAAAAGTCAAGTTAGACTTTGATCTGTTTGTTTTTGAAAGCCTTATATGTATCACAATGCTAGGTACCATATTTCTGTGGTCCTCTCAGAGAGATGTATTTGTGTATTTCTCGTCTTTCCCCTCCTTTCCCTCATCCTGCACCATAGTTTTCTGTCCTCTGGGAAAAGTAGATACTCATCCTTTGGCGGCTGGTCTGTCTTGCGAGTAATGTGAGGTTAGCAGTGCCTCCAGGTTAGCAGGGCCTGTCAGCCCCATGTGTTGTGTGAGGGCTGGTTTCCATTTGGCCATGTATCTGCATGAAACTAATGAGAAGGATCAAAGAGTGAAAGAACCTCACACTGCTGGGAGCCCCACAAGGTTGTGATACAGACATTCTGAGAATTTTACTGCTTCCCAGTCAACCCACAAGGAACACTTGGCACTGTGTTTTAGTCCACAAAGAGCATATGCCACAGAGTGTACCAGGCAGATGTGGACTTGGGTCCTGGTGCTGCCCCTAGAAGCTCTGAGCCCCCTGGGCCCTTTGCTTGATGGAGCTACTGGAGCCACAGTCTCTTGAGCTCAGATATAACCACTGCTATAATGTGGAACTAGTGAAAAAGTGCTGTTGAGTTCCTCGCCCAGCTCTTGGCACAGAGAAGGCACGGAAGGCATCTGCTTCCCTTTATCCTGCTCTGTCATCCTTCTTTCACCACCATTTTGGAGGATTTAAAGAAAATGCTTTGCAGCTTCTGAGTAAAACTCACGGACTGCGGATATAGTAGCCAAAGTTGGTCTTGGGTGAATATTTGGGAACAAACTGCCAGTTTCCTGTGAGCTCCTGGTGAGATCAAAGACGTTATATAAGAGAGTGCTGAAGTTGGGGAGGCTGTAAACGGCAGTAAGTGACCACTCTAGCCATTGCTGACTTTTCACATGCATAAACTGCTGTCCTGCTGTTGGCTGCCAGGGTAACAAATGGGGGTGGGGGCTGCTGCACACAGTATCCCTTCAGTACAAATACTTTTCATGTGCACCCTTCTTGGTGGGTGCCCAGAAGGTTGAACTCTTTCTTTGTGCCTGTGTGTTTCAGCCTTTACCATTCTCTTCTTTCTTCTACCCACAGCAGCCTCTGTTAGCTATACTCAGTATCTAAAAAAAGTTAATTTTGTGCTGATAACTTGCAGTCACACCCAAGCAACTTCTTGTAAATAAGCTTGAATAAGTGAACCATGTTTTATAGAAGTTGATCAGTTGAGCACCAGTATTCCCTTGCCAAAGAAAAGGGGAATAGGAGACAGGAATTATTGGGGTAGGGGTCCCAGGGCAACCCACCCACCCCTTTTGGGGTGTGTGTGTGTGTGTGTGTGTGTGCGCGCTTTTTCTATATTAGCAGCTAGGGACTCAAGTCATTGGAACATGACTTGACACATACAGGAGGTAAAAGGCATTGAACCTGTTTGGTGGACAGAGGCAGGAGGCTTCCTGGAGTAGCTGGCATCCAGGCAGACTGTAAAGGACAGGCTGAATCTAGGAATTCTTCACTCAGCCAGCAGCTCTTGTGAAATAAGATCAAAGTGTACCTGTCTCAAGATGAAGTCATGCACAGTAAACCTTTCTCCAACACCCCCCTGATGAGGTTGATTGGTTGGTTGATTGATTTAGGATGGGATATTTTAAATGAACTGATAGGCCAGTTTTACCTTGGACAAGGACTAGGACAAAACAAAATATCCACTCTGGGCCAACTTCTTTCTCCATATTTTTAGTACTGACTGGGAGTTCTTTCTGTGGAATGACTCAAACCATGTGATTACTCTGTGTCCATTGTCTTGCTTCTGTCCTCCTGGCCAGTGTCCTTATCCTCTGCAGTGACTGGGCTAGATGGAGGCATTTTACGCTAAACTCCTGTGGTGAAGCAGATTCTTGAGGTTAGTATTTCCCATTCCCAGGCCATAGCTAGTGCTCATTCCTTTCTTTCATGCAGTTGGAACAGAGCTGAGGAACACAGGAGGCCTGTTCCCCCTTCACCACCAGGGGTTCTTCTCTGCTCCTCCCTAGAACCAGGTCACACTTGGGTGTTCATTTTCACACATAGTTCCCACCTTGGCCACAGTGACATGCTTGTTCTCACACTCTTCTCCAGCTGGGAAAGCCCTGTCTGAGATTCTAGATTGTGGATTCGCTGCTCTACTCCTACCTGAGTGTTAAATAGTTTCTGAGTGAGCCTTCAGAATGCCTGCTATTTACTGTAATTAGCCCCAAACTGCTGTGCAGTGACCAACAGAGAAAGAAGCCTCTTGTGAACAACCTCAGCCTTGGATCAGCTGCAGTAAACAACTGACATAACAGAAGCAGCAGTGATCCTCCATTAAATGTCTTTCAGCCAAGAAGGAAGAGAGGGGCCCCCAGGATAATTGACTTTCCAGCAGGAATTATTGGCTCAAACAAAATCACTGGGCATTAGGGCAGGGTACTGCAGCCTTTGAAAGGGGACTGTAACTCTGTCTGGTTTTGCTGACCTGACAGGCATAGTTCATCTTGATTATTCATTGTCTGGTTGCCACCAGATGACACTAGATTTCTAGTGACTGTAATTACAGCATGGGGTTGAAGCTTTTAAAACCACAGTATTCCTTTGCTTTGGTTATGGGCTTCTGGGCTGAAGGCACCATAGAAGGGTCCCAACAGTGCCTGCCTGGGGACCTGATGAGCCTGCTGTCCAGCAAATTTACTGAGCACTTCCTTATGTGAGTCTTTTGCTAGATAAGCAGGGAGATACTGGTGTGCCCTGTTTTGTTTCAGCTGACAAGAGCGTCATTTCTCTGAGGCTTGCATGCTGTCTGCTGAACTGCTGCTATCAGGAAATGGGTCTACATCTCAGAACTCATACTGACCAGAGAAAGTGAGATACAGCTCCCAAAGATAATTTATTGGTGCCTCCTGGCAAACTTGATTAAAGGGAGATATGAGCAGAATGGAATTCTACCAGGCTCTCATTTTATTTGGCACATTTAAAAAATCAATTTATTTTTGCAATACTGGATATTAAACATAGGACTTTCACACTGAGCTTTATCCCCAGACCTCTTTTTATTTTCTGTTTTGAGAACAGGTTTCACTGAGTTAATAAATTTCTTGGGCTTGGCTCAAGCTTGTGATCCTCCTGTCTCAGCCTCTCACAGTGCTGGGATTATAGGTGTGTAATCCCAGTTTCTTTTTTTTATTTTTTATTTTTATTTATTTGAGAGAGAGAGAGTGTGTGGTGTGTGTGTATGGCCAGCTCAGCCCACCAGGGGGCGGGGCTGGCTGGCATGTGGTGCTGGGGGATTGAACCGCGGTCCCTGATGCTTTGCCAAGCTT